TATTGGACTGGGTTGGATTGAGTCAATATATAGTCCATTATAAGATAAGAATATAGGTGTTAATGGATAAGGTTGGGTTTGGAACCAATATAAATGAAAATAAATTTGAACAGATTAGACGGTCCAGACATTGAATTGGACCGACTCAAAATGGTCCAAAATATTCATTGGATTGGATTGGACCTAGTCCATTTGTAATGAACTCACTCACATTGGACTGGATCGGTCAAATCCAGTCCAATTGACACCCTTACTTGTTGGTAAACATAATTTAACTTTAGTTTAATGTGATTATTTTTTTTTTTCTTTTTTTGATAAACATAATTAATTAAAATTTTGATTTAACACATTACAAATATTCATTAATATATAATAGCTAGACTCCATAAATAGTATTAATAAATTAAACAAAAAAAAATATTTTAATATTGTATTACTTATATAAAACTTAGTAGGCCTATGTTTGGATAAAGGTGAATCTATATTCAATCCAAATCATAAACAGATGGAATTCAGATTACCCTCAGTATTATCAAACTTGAGTTCTGACAAACGGAGTCCTAGAGAGACTAGCAGGAGGTAAGGGTGCTCACGATTCAGTTAATTAAACCGTAAACCTTTCTTATAAATCGAATCAGCCGGTTGGTTAACCAAAACCGAACCAACTGATTTGATTCTTCTGTTTTTTATTATGAACACCCCTACAAATTACAAACTAGAGGAGAGGAGGAGAGAGGATAAGAATTAAGAAAGGGAATGCAGAGGATAAGAGTGGGGCGGAGACATAACAAATTACAACTCACAGCATTAATGGTTTGCTTTCAGTGAGAGGGTCAGTGGGACTCCATCGGGTCCCGCGCGCTGTTTTTGGTGTTGTCATTTCGTCCAGGTACAAAGCGGACGGAAATGCCAAGTGTGAACCCAAGTAAAATCAGGTTCAGAGAGAGTCGTGTTGGTTTAGAAATAGAGGTTAGACTCTTAACAAAATAATAAACAACGATGTTGTGTTTCAAAAAGAATTCGAATAAATCGGTTCCGCTTTGTCACGTGTCACTTTTAGAATTTAAAGCTATGATCCTCATCTGAATCTTCAAGTGGGTCCACATGATCTGAGGAACCATCCGTTTCATCCTAACCCTCTACTCATTGCAACTTTCAGTTTCCTTTTGTGGAGGTATTTAAGCCTTTTCCATGAATACCCTCAGCTTATACCCAAAAATATTCAAAGCGAATTTTTAGGACAGCTGTGTCTACCCGATTCGGTCCCAAACAATACCATCTGATTGGTTATCACTTTTATGATGACCGTTGATTAGTTACAAGAAAAACTTTCATGGGATGGTGAGGATTGTAACGCGTTGGTATGCCCGTAATTGGGTGTGGGGTGATGGTTTTGATTGTCAATTGCCAACCATCTTGTATAGGGAAATATTGTCAATGTATAGCTAGCTGGATGCAATGTTTAGAGTGAGGGCCTTTTAGCCTGAAATAATGAGGTGCCAATCATAGATAACCTAACAAGGCATCATATTTCTGTACAGTTTGCTGGGCCTTCTTATCAATCCTGAACCACCCATATCCATAGCCTAAACTAAAGGCACAAGCCAAGGAAAATTATCAAAAAAAGCAAGTAGGCCACCCTGTTACCAATTGATTCAGATTAAATCTAGATTGAGTCAAGGGCCAAAAATTTAAGGGAGAATAATGGTTCAGCCCAGGGTTAGAATTTTTAGGTTCAAAGTATAGTTGAGGTAGGTGTCAGTTTGGAATTGATGTTAATTTACGGATGATGGGTATTGATGTATAGAATGAGAGGTTTTTGACATTTTGAATGTTTATAGGTCTGCATTGAAATTTAGAAATCTGAATTAGGCCTGTCCGTACTTTTCCAAAAATTTAATGGGTTTGAAGACATTAATAGTTACAACTCATTTGGCCCATAACAATTTATTGTTTTCCCTTGACCCATTACATCAAATGTATGGTCTGACAATCCACACCAAGCTGTTCTTTGAACCATGAACTTTAATATTTTATTTTACTGCTCATACTTAATTTTTATGTGGAACAGTCTAGATTCTTGATTTTAATTATTTTGTTACACCGGACCGGGCTCCCCCAGTCTCAACAAAAACAGACATGGGTTGGGCCTAGCCCAGCCCAAATAACAACTAGGTAATGAAGCAAGAAGTTAATTCCTAGGTGCTGTTTGGAACTAATGTCATTTTCTGAGAGGTGTTTTCTCAGAAAACAGTGTTGTATAGACATACTGTTTTCTTAGAAAATGTTCTTTTTTTCAGACTTCCTATTCAGTACCATTGCTGTTACTGACATAGGCGTTTTCAATGCTATGTCAGCATACTGTTGCTAGCAACAGTAGAAAAAATCGGAACACGGTAAAAAGAGCATTTTTCTCAGACCACACCTTTTCCGATTTCGAAGGCATGGTCTGAGAAAATGTTTTCTTTTTTGGAAAAATGGCTAACCAAACATCAGGCATTTTCTGGAAAAAAACGAACTTCAAACGTGGCACTGATGTGGAACCATTTTTTGAAGAAACAGCATTCATGCCAAACACCCACCTGACCCTAGAAAGGTAGTGTTGCAGAATATTTGTTGGCAATTGGGTAATGGGTCCCAAATCTTAGTTGACACCTTGATTATCCAAATTTACTCAAGTTATTGCCCCAACACCTCTGCTTGTTCTGAGCTCAGAGCCTTCATCTCTCACTGGTGAGACTACAGTAGAGAAACTAAGATACTTAAAGCAAATAGGTTCCATCATCTCAACATCATTTTCTGGGCTACAGAGAGGCACCGAGAATATAGAAGGGAAACGTCAAGCACCCTCTGTCTCTGGCATTAGATCCTCATTCTTCAACAAGCATTATTCCAATATGAGACTTGAGAGAATGGCATGGTTGGAAGTCACACGTCTGCTTTCCCAATTCCAGCTCTGATTCTGAATGACCCAGAAGAAAGCAGAATACAGCCATCAAGGAGAGAACTATACCAAATAGGGGTGTGGCCCAACCGATAAAGGTGGCTTGAATATTTGATGCAACTCTCAAATTCATACTCTTAATGCAGGAGAAGGTGACCCAACTGATCAGTTTTTTTTTTTTAAATATTCTTTTCCCCATCAAATGGAAGAAAACCCGACAAAAGTAAATCGGTGAATGAGAGCTGAATTCGTTTGCAACTAGGCATGAACCAGTCTGGCCCACCAAATCTGAATTATTGCAAAATGGAACCCAAAAACAAGATCGTACATGAATTTGGCTTGAAATGTAATGGTTTTGAGCACAACTTTCACTTTTGAAATGTTCAAGATTCTCGAAATTTCTTTATCTTTCAAAATGGTCCATCAAAAGAAAGTCAAAACCAAATCCGAATTATTGCAAAATGGAACCCAAAACCGAGTTCGTACGTGAATTCGGCTTGAAATGAAATTATAGAATTTAAAAGTTCTGTTCCTGCTCAAGTTCAATGGAAATCTTGTAGGGTTTTGAGCACAACTTTCACTTTTCACTTTTGAAATGTTTAAGATTCTCGGAATTCTTGATATTTCATATTGTTCCATCAAAAGAAAGTCAAAAAGCGTATATTTGGACCCTTTTTCTTTTCTTTCCCTTCCTTTTATTTTTGGTGGAAATTCTCTGGTTACTGTTTGCAAACATTTGTTTTGACTTTTGAGCCTTTCCCAGATCTCTGTAGTTTCTTTTTACAGCTACTACTTACTAGGGCCACATGTCATGAATGAGGTTTCAAGTTTCAACCTATGAATGCAAAATGGCATCCTCCATTGCAGAGTTTGGGAAACTACAGGCCGTGACCTTCACCTTGCTCATGAGCATCTCTCATGAGAAATTTCTACTGTTGGCAATGCTAATTTATGAGAAGTGAAACCAATAAGCATATAGTACTTATGCTGGACGTGACGGAAAACCCACATTGATCAGAGATACTCAGAAGCCACACAGATAAGTTACAAAACCAATGGCCAATGGGCCTTTTATAGGGTGATGACAGTGACCTTAATGACCATCCAAGAGTTCTGAAATATCCCAGTGGTTAAAACAAACTGATGAATATTTTGAAGCAGTGGCAAAATCTGAGAGGCGGCCCACAAGCTGGACTCACTGTTTGACATGTGCACCAGTGTACTGAACTTTATTGGCATTAACTCCATTGTCACATTTGAGTAATATTTCAGCATCTTTGCATCAATTACTGTCTGTCTGGCTTTCTCAGGCAGGACGACAATGAGTGGCAACTAGCGACTAGCAATACACAGAAGCTGCAGAGACTAGAAAGAGATTCAATGAAAGAAGTCCAGCTACATATGTAGCAGTGTTAACCGTTCTCTTCTGAGTTTCTGTGACCATCAGCTGCATTTATAAGAATCTAGCATACTGCTACCCATATTGATATATTGACTGTTTCCCCACTATACATGGATCGTGAGTCATGATAATTGTACCCAAAGTCAGTGCTCCCTCTCCTGGCATTCCTAGCCAACATTGAAGAGGAAGAAAGGATGAAAAAGGGACGAACAGCTTGAAACTGTAAGGAAATAAATTTGTCGAACTTGTATTTATGAAATAGGACTCAATTTTTTGGTTGGGGGGATCAACACCCTATGCAACGATAACCATTTTCCTGGAAGATTTTCAAGAACAAAAGAAAGTAATCAGGTGAAGACAAAATAGTAGGCAAATCTAACTTCCTGTGTTAACTGTTCTGAAATCTAGGGAAGCGGATTTCTAATTTCTTGTGCTAACTGTAGATTTTCCCTGTTGAGTTGAATCAATTCTGATAATAAAGCATCCGATTCCTGAGACTATTTGTGCATCAGATTCCTGAGATTACAGCTATAACTATGCATTGAACGCTAAAAGGCCTTTAACCATGATGGTCCCTGCTATCTGGGGTCTTGGGTGTGGTAGACTGGATATGGGCCTAAACTTTGGTTTTTTTTTTCCACAAAGTGGCCACTCTTAGAAGCAAGCCTACATCCTCATGCTTGTTAGCCTGAGATCCTTATCTTTTTTTTTTTCCTAATACATACATAAATACATACATAATTACACACACACATATAGACCATCTTATCCTTCTGAGAGGAAGTGACCCAAGATAAAACAAGTATATGCTGCATATGTCTGGAACTTGGAAGGACACAGTTTCAAATCTTACAGTGCAAATGAATACATGAATACATTGACATTGGTCCTATTTCAGTGGAATGGAACAGGATGGCTGAAATTCACAGAAATGGTCTGCCAATTGTCCTAAATGGCTGCCTCAAGTACAAAGTCCAGAGATACAGGAAAGGGTAGGCTACATGTATACAATACCCAATACCAGCTCCATGGTGCTTACAGAGGCACTCATTAGTTGAAGGCACACACGAAGCATGATGTGAAGCTCAACTAGTGGAACTGCATACAAATTACAGAAAGTCAATGCAACATAGGATAACAATTACATCACCATGTAATCCCAACTATTTTTGATACGCAAAACAAGTGACAAGACTTGAACCCATAACCAGACCTGTTCATGGGCTGGGATCGGGCTTGGCTTTTGCCAAAATTCTAATGGACCCAGACTGAAACCCCAGCCCGAGGCAGTGTAAAATTGAACCTGAAGCCCGGCCCGTGAATAGGTCTACCCATAACCTCTTATTTTCCATGTAATCCTAACTTATAAACATAGGATAACAAGATGGAACATTCTGTAAATTATTAAGTAATAAAATGAGCATAAAAGTAAAGGGCTGCACAACAGATCATATAATTATTTGATGCAGTTTTAAACAATTAAGAATCCAATAAAGACACAATATTTACAATCTAGTTTTTGACATTTGTTGGAAAATCTGTCATATCACAGACGTCAAACACTCTGAAAACCTTTAAGGCCCATGTCCCATGTATAATGGTTACAAATGCAATAATGTCATTTATAAGTACCATCAATTAGTAGGTGCCTACCAGGATACCGCATAGCATATAACCAAATTCAAAGCATCTGTAACAACTGCCATTGTGATGCTAAATAGTTATCCACTGTTATCAGTTATGACAATTACACTATTGGAAAAACTTGCATATCTTATTCAAGTAGGTGTCTGTAAATTGTAAAAAATGCATATTATATGTACAGTATGAAGTAAGAAGCTATACGTTCACCATCTCTGTCCAGCAATTTTTTCTTCATTTTTTTGGGTGGGTCAGCCGGTCAGTGGTGGTGGTAGAGATCAACATTAAGATAAAAGCTGCCACTGAAAATCTTCAACTTCATGTGGAAGACATTGGAAGGAAAATTACCTTCTGATATGAACATGAAGACTTACAGGACTCACCTGGTATCAAGGTACAACCATGAAGATGAAACAGTCAACCATCAATTCAGCAAAAAGTTTCTAGTTGAGAAATTTTGGGAATTGATGAGTTATTTTTCAACATTCTATGTTAATCATTCCCAATTTCTGAGGATCACCACCGTCCATGATTTGACAAAAGCTTCTAAGAAAAATCCAGCTAACTACTTTTTTAATGATGATAACTACAATCTTAATAACTAACGAGTTGTGGAAGGAAATCACAAGATGTCTCAACAAACTTGGCATTCCCCAGGTTTTGTACCAAATAAGGTCTTGACATGGATAAGGAAGATTGAATGGTTGATTGAGCAAAGCAGAACTACATTTCTATTTCTTGAGTTGGATGTTAAGATCAAATGTCCTAACTGCAATATGCGATTTTTTCAACTAGAAGAAAACCACCTTTTGTAATTGAAATCAAATGAAGAGAGGTTGGGTAGGAGAAAACCACCTCTTTTTTAATCACAGATATGGAAATTCTAGAAACATGGTTATAAAGTAGAGTTAATGCAAGATGGTATACAGAATTTGGTTCCTTGGTCAGTGAAGGTAATCCAACATTTGAATGTGAATCTCCCATGCTCATAGATATTGGAATGGTCACATAGTCCCACTAAAGCCACTACAGATGATATGCTATAGTGGAAGATGCTCTTACTACCATTGGTTGTTGAGTTTTGTCATATTCACAAAGAGAAGAATATGCTAGCTGACAGGCCTGCTAGACTTGGTGCTGCTGCTCAATAGATACATTTCACTTTAAATACATTCCCAGGGAGATTAAGGAACAGTTACTCTCAACATCTAAGTTCATAACTGGATTTTCTTGGCATTAGGACCCCCCCCCCTCAAAAAAAAAGACAAATTTAATCCTCATATGATTATTAAAACAATTTTGATATGGCTGTCTCTCCATGTGAATTCAAAAATTAAAATACAGTACAGAATAAGAACTTTGACAAGCACAACTAACTAGAGACCTGAACATAGATACTGGAACAAGAATGCATGCCAAAATGCTACATGGATGCAGCAGCAACTTAATTGTATGATAAAGTTGATCCTTATCTAAAATCTTGTCCTAAAAGAGAAATAGAAGAATTTTCAGGCAAGGAAATTGTAGAGAGACTGGGCCAAATGGGCCTTGGTGCTTGTTTTCTGTTAAGTGGTGTTCTCTTTATGTTTTATGTGTTAATGGGTCTTTTCTTTATGGGCCTGTTAACTTCTTTTTAATTTCCTTTAAGTTATTGCTGAGCTGGCCGCCCACTTAAGGGAAGACGTGTAATTAATCTTGATTAGATCAAATTAAGAAAAGATTAGTGAGGGGAGAGAGGGAACCATCGAATCTTCTCTTCTTCTGTTTCTCTCTTTCTTTCTTCCTTTTTTTGTTGCTGTGATCAGAAATTAATATCAGATTTAGAGGACTGATTCAAATCTGAAATCAATGTCATAGTTCCAAAGCCAGAAAATTCAGAAAAGGATCTTAGGAGAGACTTTGAGGTGATCCATTGGAGCAGCCACTGATAAGAATGACTTAATTGTTAGTTTGGGCTTCTTTTGTCTCTTTGGTGTTAGTTTTCTATTTAGGTCATCATCATTATCATCGTCGTTGTCATCGTCGTCATCATCATCATCTAATCCTTGTCCCAACTATAAGGAGTTGGCTACATGAATTGTGTTCTGCCATTCCATTTTGTTAGGGACCATATCCATTGCTAAATCATGGGCCCATAAATCATGTCTTAGTACTTCAACCCATGTCTTTTTCATCTTCCCTTGGCTCTTTTAGAACCTTCAACTTGTAGCAGATTAGTAGAACACTTCTTCTTGGTGTTATAGATGGTATACAATGCACACGCCTAGGCTCCTTCAAACACATTCATTTCCAATGCTATCCTTTATACTTCCCACTCATCCCTCAACATTCAAATTTCTGCCACTAATTTTATGCACATGTTGTTTCTTGACTGCCCAACACTGCTCCATACAATATTGTTGGCCTTGTAACAGTTTTATAAAATTTTCCTTTCAGCCTATGTGGTATTCTCCTATCACATAAGATGCCTTTTGAGTCTGTTTAGATGAAATAAATTTATTTCGAACCATAGAAATAGTTTAAGTAGCAATTGGTTAAGGTCTTGCAAATCCAGTTTAATACATTCCTAATAAAAGGTGCAAGTTGTTAAGCAGATCCATTAGTCAAGATCCAAAAGGGCTAGGTATCCCACCCTAGCACATGTATATCTTTGTAATTGATCCCCTCAACGAGATTGGATCTAACAAAATTTGTTTCTACATTATTTCTGTTGGAAGTTTCTCCAGGTATGTATTTCTTCTCTTTCTATTGATTTCTTTTCTGTTAATCTACTTTTCTATTACCTCTACTTATTGATTCTCATGCCTTCTGTCCATTCTATCTTATATTTCTCTTATTTTCTTTCTTCATTGCCATCCTAATTTCTGCATCTCCTGCTCTCTTCCATCTTCCTATTGCATTCCTATTTTCTTTTTTTTTTTTTTGCTTAATTATCATCATTAAGTTTTTTTACAGCCCAGAATTCTTCAGCTTCTATCATATACCAAATGCAGTCCCTAGAAAACCCAGTTGTCCACCTTTGAACATTTCCCCAACCTTTAGCAATTAATTTCCTGCATAGAATAAATCAACCAGCTCTCTTAAACCCAAATTTAGCAAATTTTAGGTCTTCAGAACTATTTCAACAATACAAAACAGCTAAAACATGAGAGGGTTAAGCAGCCTCAGCTGGCCTTCTAAGTGGGTTGCTTGGAAATCTTGTACACTTTGTAATAAAAAGTACATAGCTGATAAAGCAGACTCCTTATCTTAATATGATGACACCCAGATTTGCAATCACTTCATAGAACATCAGCCATTTTCATTAGGAAGATACTACATTCATTATTATAGTTGTCAAGGTGAAGCCTAGGCGATAAAGCGCTCATGGAAGGTTGCCTTGCTAAATCGCCAAGACATTTTTTTACAGTGCTCTTGGATATCCTTATATTCTTAACTTTTTTGGTCTATAATAATAACATAGACATATACTAAACTAAACCATTCAGTTTAAGTTAAAGTACTAGTTTCTTTTTTTATTATTTTTCTCACTTGTTAGGGTTCAATCAACATGTATACTGCCTTTAACACTCAAAGACTTCAGAACATGAACTGATAAGCATGGAAGAACTCAAAATTTTATCCAATCAACAAATATTGATTATTTTCATCAATCATTATCATCTTCTTCTTCTTTCACATTCTTTTCTTTTCTTCTTTCCCTAGGACAAAAATAGAGGCTCAGCTCCTCTACTGTATGAAATTTCTTTTCGTTCTTCCATTTTTTCATGAATATGTTGATTTTCTATATTTCAAATGAAGCCTATACATTTTTATGAAGATTATAGACAATTAATAGCAAAAGATGGTTATTGCTTTCTATGGAACCTAAGGAATTACCCTGGGATTCGTAGTTTTTATTCAGAAAAAAAAAAAAAAAAAACATCACCTAGGCCTCACCTCAACACCTTAAAAACTATGCCTCTAGAGTTCACAACCTTACTTTGACAATCAAGAAATACAAAGATAGATTAACATGTGGAGCAATGATTTCACATGGTCGCAACACTTTCTTTTGACCCTCTAATAAAACACAACATGCTATCAACCAAATGAAATGTCACACCACCCAATGAATGCTTGCCTAGGAGATTTGGTTTCAATAGGTTCACATGGTCATAACACTTACTTGCGACCCTCTAATAAAACACGGGCACACCGCACACTATTAATCAAACGAAAGAACAAATTATCCCGTGAGTGCATCCTTCTCTTTCTACCCCAAATGACACACTAACAACCTGCTAACATATGAAAAAATGGAGATTGCCTCTAAGGTCTACTACCTTACTATGACAATTTAGAAATACCAAGGTGGCCTAACATGTTGAACAATGAATTCACACGACCATAAACTTTCATGCGATCCTCCAATGAAATACAAGCATGCTATCAATCAAATGAAAAACCAAATCATTGAATGAGTGCATGCCTAAGTGATTTGGCTTCAATGAATTCACATGGTCACAACACTTTCTTGCAACCCTACAATAAAACATAGATATGTTAACAATCAAATGAAAAGTCAAATCACCCAATGAATCTAAATGATACAAAAATAACCCACTAACATATGAAAAAAGAGACTACCTCTAAGGTCTACTATCCTACTATAACAATCAAGAAATGTCAAGGTAGCCTAACATGTGTGGTGATGTGCTCACACAGTCACCATACTTTCTTGCGACCTTCCAATAAAATAGTAACATACTATAATCGAAAGAAAAACCAAATCACCTAGTGAGTGCACACATGGATGACTTGATTTTGATGAGTTCACGTGCTCATAACACTTTCTTGTGACCCTCCAATAAGTCACGAACATGTTAATAATCAAATTTGCGCCACAACACTTTTTTGGAACCCTCCAATAAAATATAGATATCCATATTCTATTAATAAAATGAAAGACAAAATTACCCAATGAGTGCATGCTTGTTTTTTCTACCCCAAGTGATACACAAACTACCCTTTATCAGATGATAAAATAGAGACTAGAATCCACTACCTTACTAGGAATATCAAGAAATACGAAGGTAGCTAACATGTAGAGTGATGAGTTCACATAATTATATAACTTTCTTGTGGCCTCTAAAAAACCCAGACAATACTATAAAGCAAAGGATATACCAAATCACCCAGTGAGTACATTCTTGGGTTATTTGGTTTTACTGAGCTCACATAGTCACAAAATTTCTTACAACCGACCATCCAATAAAACACAAACATGTTGTTCAAATGAAAAACCGAATAAACTAGTGAAAGCATGTTTGCTATTGCTACACCAAATGATACAAGAACAACCCAATATCATATAAAATAAAGACTACCTCTAGGACATACT